AATGGTTTGAAAATCTGTAGTTTATGTTGTTTAGGGACTCAGTTGATCTGCTTTTATTTGCTGAATCAATTAATCTGTGATCAATCTTCATGGTCTCTTGAAAAAAGCCGCAAACCTGCATTTAGCTTGAATTCTTTAACCTGACTTAACGTGGCAACAGCAGTGGATCGTGGCCCGGCCTTTGTGAAGAAAGTGAAGCCAGGATGCACTGATCTCTCATCCTTGAATTTTTGAATTCATCTATTCTAAAATAGGCAAAAAGCAAGTGCCTGGTTGATTTCAAAATAGAGCTATTGTTATTCAAGGTCTTCATCTTATTTATGGTTTAAAATTTGAAAACACCAGAGAGCCAGTAATCCACCTGATGTACATGGATAAAGACAGAAAGAGCTTTCAGTTGGTGAGTTTCAAAAGTTACAAACAATTAGTTATCATCTTTATGAATGTTATAGATGATATTAACACAGAATAAGACCAACTAAAAGAATATCCTAGAAAGAAGATATCAAAGAACCAAGAACTGATCCCTGCAGAACACCACACTTTCCATGTTTATTTCTAATTTATTGAAAAAAGGCAATAAGGAAAGAGGATCAAAGTTACAAATCATGGCAAAATATAAACTAGATTTTTCAGGAATAATGACAATACTGATGGACCAACGCAGGTTAGACATTGATCGTATAAAGAGGAGGGAAATACTTTAACAAGTACAGTGTTTCATCTAGAGGCCAAGTGATAAAAATAAAGAAAAATTACCAAAATACTGATGCTTATCTTTAAAGGTAGCGTAGCCTGAGATTTCAGGTCCATGTTTAGATCTTTGACTTTTGAAAAAAAAGATCCTAAACACAGCAAACCTGTTTTTGAAACAAAATGTAACCAAAATTATGCAAGAAACATATTGAAGTTGTTGGGTTACAATGTTGTAAGGAACATTTAACGAAAATGGAGCCTTTCTTTATATCTTATTTGACAATAAATTGCTGCTTATGTTCACATTTAGCTTAAGAAATTATAACTGCGTTGTCGATTCAACTTTTACATTTACTTTTTAAATAAGATAGTTTAAATTAAAGGCTGTGTGAAAGGAAAAAAAACGTTTTGTGATCAATGCTGTGCTGCTGAAGTAGTTCTAAACAGTCCTCTGTATTAGCCACTATATTCAGGTTTATAATTCACTTAAACAACTCATCTGTTTCTGTTGGATGTTTACCTTAACATACCAATTCTCTTACATCAGTGAAAAACCTTACTTTTAAAATTGTCAATAGCTGATACCTAACCTTTTTTATGCAACTATTGATGCAAAAATGTAGAAATTAGACAAAAGATCCTTCAAAAAACCTTGTGAATTTGCTATTATGCTGAGGACTATGGTTATATTTAATCAATTAGAAAATGCTTTCTGATAAGGCTTGTTTGTTTGATTATAAACTCAGCAGGCATTAAGCATTGTCAATGAATACGCATTTCAGTAATGAAATGTTTTATATTGGCCTGATGTAATACTCCAATTTTAAATTTCATGCTTTTATTAACTGTATTAGCGGTAAGTGCAAAAATAATCACAATTAACAGAAAGTACATCAGAGAATAAAATTAATTATTGTTAGTCTGCAACAATGCTGTTTAAAAGGGAGTCAGAGAGAACAAGGAGCTGAAAGAACAAAGACTGAAGGTAAAAATTCTTCCATGATTACTTTATACCAAAATGTTTTAGAAGGTTTGTCGCTGATCCACAGCAAGAAACTGTTTTAATTTGCAACAGTAGGTGAGGGTATCATTAAGCCCGTTAAAACCAGGACTGATTTTACCGCCCCTGAGATGAGCGAGACAGGATTAAAGACTAAGACAACTCCACACATATCATATCACCAGTATGAATGACATCTTGATTTGATTCTTGTGGGAAATCAATGCAGAACCAGGATGATGCTCTCTCTCTATGCTTTACAAGTTTTTTCTTCATTCATACATTTCACTGTCACCCTGCAGTTGCATAAACAAAATGTTTTAAGTACTGGAGTTATATGTCATTTAGAGTTCGTCACAGTGGTGCTGAGGGTAACATTAATAGTAAACTGCTCTCGGCAAAAGTAAAAGAATCAGTAAATAATCTCAAACCATAATGAATTCCACACCATGCCTAACAGCTTTGTTAGTATAACTTAAGTTTCTTCCCTTAAAAAGCATCTTTTTTTTTTACCTTGCTGTGCATACAGTGTTTTTATAAGGAATAAACTTTAAAGAGCATGAGGCCTAGTTCACAAAAGGTGAAATCAGAAATGTCAGGATACAAGAGAAAGTCGGGCTTAGCCTTATTTTAAAGAAAAGGATGCCTATTTTAGAAGGGTTCCAGGGGGGAACAGGTCCGTGAGACATGGACAGACCCAGGCCATTTTTCCTCCATCATGATGAAGCTGCAGTAAACGTCACGGATTAATCGGAAGTATAAGATGCATTCATATAATGGAATTCACACAATAAATGTATGTAACTGACAGGATAAACCATAAATCACCTTTAGGTGATTGTTAAGTTTTTCTCCTAACAAAATCCCCTCCATGTGCTTCAGAGGGGCGTTATATCTTGATGCGTGTGATGCAACGCACCAAAAACAAGGAATCCTGTATCAAAAAAATTAAAGGAACTAGATCACCTGTTCAAAAGTGTCTTTTGTGACATGTCGCCTAATTCATGTGCAATATTGTAGAAACCCACCTAACCCCACCTTAAAGGTATTGTGGAAGACTTTTTAAAAGACCCGCCACCCGCACGTGCAAGAGCATGCACAAGACCATTTCTCCTCATTCAAGCCCTGTTTGAAATGTGCTTTTCTCATAGCCCATAAAAGCTTACTGTGTCCACATACAGCACGGACTATATAGTGAACTTTATAGCAAACTCAGTTGGCTTACAGTTCAGACAGATGATCACTGGTTTTTGCTCTGTTGGTCATGTAACTCCTCCACCGTGTGATGCCTGCGCCATCTTTGCTATTATTCGCCGCTGTCAGGTAGCGAAAGCCTATGGCGAAAGTGGACCGCTGTGACAAAAAATCCTATAGGGCATTATGAAGAGAGCTCTCTTGGCAAGGCATTCTGGGATATAGCTGCCTCTTCTGAGGCCTTTTTCAAAGAACCATGGTGAAAAAGGTGAGCTTCAATGACTGTCACAAACCTCAGCTCACCACACATATGCGTCTGAAAATACGAAAAAGATAGCTAATGGGACAAGCACGTAGGACGGCCTTACGTACCGGTAAACAAATCAGCAGAATGACTGACAATTAGGAGGGCCACTTATTTAAATGATCCACCCGGAAATAACAGATTGTCCTCTACACCTTTCATGTAGCCATTTTAGTACCAAATAGACTTTTCTAATTGTGCAGCAAATCGTGGCTTTAAGATTTTCAGCATCTCCTACTGCATTCAGAAACTCACCACTAGTGAAAATCAGAGACAAACCTGTGTTAACGGCATGGCTTTGTTCTGTTTGGTTCAGAATTTGGGACCCAGTAGTCTGCACAGGTAGCAGATGTCGTCTCCAGCCTTTATCAGCCAACTTTATCAGCCTTTTTTTTTTTTCCCTTTAAGATAAAGACCTTTCAGTCAAACTTAGAACAATAGCTGCCTTTATAAACTCTTCAAAAAGAAATCATGTCCACATATAAAATGATAAAGTTAATATTGGTATAGGCTGCTATGATGAAAATAATTAAAGTTGTTGGATATATAACAATATAGATTAGTGGCTTTGAATGTTGGAAGATAAAAAAATACCAAGAAACAGAGAAGAAAATGGAAGCTGATTGATGGAGCAGGCTGGCTGCACAGAATATATATCACCATGGCAATATGTGTGCCTGCTTGTGTGAATCTTAGTCAAGGCTTAATTAGGCCAAAATAGCTGGAAATCCCAATTTAATCCCTTATCTTGGTTTTGTGAAATAGGCCTGCATTTTTCCAGACGCTGCACTTTATTGTTAGATATTCTGTGTTAAGCTGTTTGCATCAGATGTCTTGTCCTTAAAAACTATTTTCCAAGTGATCAGTTGCTGAAGAGACTTTAAATGTTGTTGCAACAGAATAAATGTTCTACTTATTAAAGAAAGTGGCTATATGTTTAAAATAATGTTGTCGATATGCACATAAGTTTGGTATTTCTGCAGAACTTGCATGTTTTTGCTAGAAAAGAAAAAATAATAATAATAATCAGACGTCCAATACTATAGCAGATGGTAACCAAAAAAAAAATCAAGTTTAAAGGTGAGATTTTGTGTATCTGACTAAAAATAAAACATGAAATCAGATTTTTTTTTTATAGCAATCTATATTTAATTGTCATGTTGTGCTATTTTGGTTCATCAGAAGCTTATATGTTCACCTCGGACCATCAGGATGCACAGGATTAAAGTTCACACGTTGTTAGTGCTTTTGCCAATTTACAGGAAAAAGTACAAATCTCAGTTTGGTGTGGTCTATTGTGCCACTCCTCCAATCAGAAGAGCAGGCTGCAGCATCCTGCCTCTCGTGCCCTTGAGGGCTGTCAAAAAAAAAAAAAAAAAGCCGAGAGACAACCCCAGTGTTACTCTGTTTGCTTGACCTTTCACCTGACAGGAGGAAACAGGACGTTGGTGCTCTTGTGTTTGTAAAGATAACCAAAAGCCCGCCTGTTCTTGCTGCTCCAGTGTCACACGTTCAGAAATTCCAGTCCAGGTGCAGCGGAGTCAACAAAGCCTTCCCTGTCGCTGATTTACAAACGGTTTTGGACTGCCATCAAATGCAGAGCTGGCATTCGTGCAGCCTCCTTTGATGATGCCTTATAACATCCTTGATGAGTTCAAGTAGTGCTGGCTTTAAACCTTCAGAGGTGATGAATGTTTGCAAAGTCGCAGCTGCTGAAAGAACTCAAAGGCAGTCGGCTTAAAAAGAAAGGTTGGTTTATTATCTGCATCTGCAGCTTTATAACAGAGAAATGAAGGATACATCTGTAGGCGACAATGAAACAATGCATGCATATACATTTGAAAATATGCATAATTCATGCATAAAACAAGAGGAACCATTAAAACAAATCCAACCTCTCCCAAGTACGAACTTTATACATGCTGATTAAAAACCCCTTCATCGAGGGGCTAAAGATCATGAGCGAAAGCTGTACCTGTTTCAATAAAATGCTAATCTATCATGATTACTGCTTAGATAAAATTTGAGAAAAGCTTGAGTTAAACTCTATGATGTAATAATACGTGAAATGGCAGTGAGGCCTTCTAAATACTGTTTGCCAAGCCTTTGGTCAATAAAAGGTTTTTAATGTGGAGCCGCATCGACTGGCTTTAGCCAGACAGAACCACGGAGGGGTAATGAAGGAGCTTCATGGGATGCGGTTTCTGCCTGCCTTCAGTGATGCACGGGCTGAAGAAGGGGAACACCTTTCCCCTTGGCCCCTTGCTAAACAAGCAGAGCAGGCTCATGTCGTCAGCGTCGTAGAACGCCACCTTCCTTTCGTCGCAGTCCAGGTACACCCCGATCCTCTGCGGGGATGAAGCGACCTGCAGCCTCGACCACGGCTGCGTCCCGGCCCAGTATTGTTCCCCGTTGCGCAGCCGTAGGGTCCAGTAGCCGTTCTCGGGGCTCAGCTTGATCCGAGCGTGCCTGTCCACGGTCTCGGAAGCCACGCCCAGGTCCCATTTAGGGCTGGAGCCCACTTCGACCTCCCAGTAATGTCGCCCTGACTGGAAGCTCTGGGCGGCCAGGATGTTGACGCACTGGAGGAAACGCTTGCTGTTGCTCGTGGGCTGGGTCATGACATCACACTCGACCGCCACGGTTTTGTCCCGGGAGACATGAATGCTAGGATGTGCCGTGTCGGCGTCAAACGTTAAGGAAGCAGGACCTTTGGAATGAAAAGGTTTGTTGTTAGGTGTTAGGACTAATAATGTTTTTGGATTAAGGTGAAACATGTAGAGTCAAAAGTATTCACACCAATTGATTTTTTTTTTTTTTAGATTTTGTCACTTTTGATACTTTTTTATTATTTACCTTTTTAAAACAAATTGATTGAGGGATTTTGTTCAATTATTTTTACAAGCAAAGAACACGTTTTAGTAACTAAAAAAGAAAATCCAGAAGTAAAACTTAACAAAAATGTTTCATCATAAAAAGATGAGTAATTTTGCTGCTTTCTTACATTTAATTTATTATTTAATTCTTTTTTGTTTATCTTTCATATAAAATAAAAACAATATCAGATTTTCTTTACCATTTTTTTGTATTTTTCAAATGGTGTTTTTTATTGTTTTTATTTTAGTGATTTTACATTTTCATTTTTTTTCCCAATTTTCTCTTATTGATACAGTTTTGCAAACTGCATTCTTTTTAAAATCAACATCTCATTTTCTTCAGTTAAAGCCCAACACAAACGCTCGTTCTTGACGATATTGACCAATAAAAATGTTGCTATCTTCCATACAGAAATAAAAATTTATCTTCTCTCTTCACTCCCTGGTCAAAAAAGCTGTGACTTGAAAAACACAATTTGAAAAAAAAAAAATTAAAAGAAAAAATTATTAAAAGATTTATATTTTTATAAACAAGATCTGGTCAAACAGCAAAGTTTCTCATAGAAAAATGTTATGCTATTAAATCACAATTTAAAAAAAATTGCTTTATCAAATTTCAAAAAGCATGTTTTTTGCTTGCAAAACATAAAACTAAAAATAACTCCATATAAATCTAGTCATAATATTTCTATTTTGGGTGTAATCCCTCCATAGTTTTGCACTCCCAGACCTTTTGAAACAATGATCATCAGACAGGAAGCTACCTGGCTTTAGGCTGTTGAACATCTTCCTCCATGTGACGTATTGTAGCGGAGCGAAGTATTTGCTGCTGAAGGCACTTATATTGAAATCCGGCGCTACATTCACCTCCACACAGGGGCTGCAGATTGAACACACTTCATTAGCTTGACACCAAATAACATTAATTAGATTTCAAAGTCAAACATGAGCTGCTGTTAAAAGGCCTGAGGTAATTGTCGTGTCACTTAATGACAATGAATCCTTACCTTAACTGTGGGAACTGTCAAGAGGGAAACCAAAGAACAACGTCATTAAATGCATAATTCAATACACAATTAGTGTAGCAAAGAATGTTGAAGATTAGGTGAAGCTCTTGTTTTTAATTTAGTATTGATGTTATAGATTTCAAATTATTGTTGGGTAGAATAAAATAAACTTTACAAAGCCGAAAAGATTTGGAATGAGAAGTTTCCACCTCGGTAAGTGAATTGTTGGACTGTTGTAGCAGTTTAATGTTGTTCTCTAGTTCCCGCATAGCAGACTCTGCAGCCTGCAGGTGGTGCTGGACCTTCTCCAGTTCCTCCTCCTGCTCCCGTCTCAGCTGATCCAGCAAACAGGTCTCCTCCTCCTGCAGGATCTGATGCAGAGCTCGGAACTCGCCCTTGACGCGCTCCTGCAGATCTGCTCCGACCCTCTGGAAACATAGAAAAAGATCTAAGGAGACATTTTCTTTTTAAACCAAGCTAGGTGGATCAGTAAAAATATAAACTCTTATACAGAGTTTTACATGATAGATCCACACAAAGGGGCTCATGATTAAAAAGTTATGGGAAAGTGGTGAACCTTTTTTCTTGTAGAACGATGTAAATAGAGAAGAACGACCTTACCCTATAATTGCTGCTCTAGATCTTTTAGAAAATGTCTCTAAAATTTGTGTGCATCTAGAAACTGACGTTTTCCTGTTAAAGTCAGATTGGTTGGAGAACTCTAGTGAGGATTCAATTTTTTTTATTCTTGCCATGAATTTTATATGTATAGGACTTTGACTAGGTCAGAACCACTTCAATGCAGCTCCAGCTGTATGTCTGGGGGGGTCATCCATGCACTGATTTTTAATTATCTGAACGCCACTTGAAATTTAGAGGTCTGTAGAGGTTGCATGTGCAGAAATTTGGCTAGAGAAATAACTGTCCCCCTCAGTTTTCTTGACATGCTATCACCCCCAACAGCTTTTAGTTTCCTATAATGTCTGTGAAATATGACGTCTGATTTTTTGGGTGTGAGAAAATTTAATTACTGGACTTGTTGCAAAGGTGTTACCCCATCACATTACTTCAGTAGAATTCACTGATCTTCTAAGCGTGACCCATTCTTTCATACCTGTTTGTAGGAACTGTATTTCTAAAAGCTTGATTTTATGGAAACTGAGGAGTTTGAAGCACCAGATTTCAATTATTTTTACAGCAAAGATATATCTCAGTATATCTCTGTAAAGATAAATACCCATTTACTTGTATGATCTCTTTCTATGGAATCCATACTTCTATCTCTGTATAACCTTCAACATTTTTGCCAAAGTCATCTGTGTACAATGTAATCATCTGCTGCTTGGAGAATCAATCTGAATGGCTAAACTTGAGTTCATAAAAACTGGGATATATTAGGCAATAATTTCTCAACTTTAAAGAGAGGATTGATTGTTGCACACACTGATGCAGCCTTAATGTGGAATACAATCACTAATTAGTTGAATTCTGGAAACAGTTTGCTGCAATGGATGTTATTTTCAAGTTTTAGATCATAGGGAATCTGTAGTGACTATTTGTACAAAACTAAAATTTAAAAAAAGGTGATCAAATCAAAAGGTGAATTTTACTCAAATAGTCATTCCTTAAAAGTTCAAAGAATATCCACTGGACTTGGTTTCCAAGATTTGAAATCTTGGGAAAAAATCTTGGATTTCAAATCTTGGAAACCAAGTCCAGTGGATATTCTTTGAACTTTTATGGAACGACTATGACTTGGATGACTGAGAATCTTCATCAACAACTCAAATATTCATCTGATGCACTCTGAATTCTGGCTTACAACCAAAAGACCAAAACAGGGTCAAAATCCAGTTCTGTGTTTGTTTTATTCTCCGTTCAGACAAAACAGGTTAAAGGCTTCAAAGGATTCTGCTACTGCGCTAACTCTGATTCCTGCACCCGTTCTTTGACTGATTGACTGACACCAAACGGGCTGACAGAGACTGAGATTCAGACTAGGACTAAGACCTCCTACTTGCATAATGAGCTACCTAAGACCTACCTATTTATACTGTGAAACACCCACATCCTGAGCTAAAATTTATTAACTAATTAAGTGAATCCCTAACCAAAAACATATTCTAAATAACAAATTAAACTAAAGAATCTAAATTCTAAGATTTAACTGAAAATGGAAAAATAGCTCCTATAGAATTATAGGAGAGTATGAATTCTCATCCTCAGGAGAGTATGAATTCTCATCCTTCTCAGAAAGCGCACATCCACATTAGATTGATCTTCATGCTGGTCTATCACTTTGTTTTCTGATAAAATACAATATAATATGTTGGCTCTATAGACACTTGTACAAGGAAATGTATCTGAAGCTATTGAAAAAAAAAACATAATAAAAACCTTCACCCACCAGGTGATTAACAGTAATCTATGAACAATTTTCAGCATTCCTTTTTTCTCAAGACTGAATGTGATGAATGAGCATTTAAGCAGCTCCTGTAGTCGATAAGTTGTCTGAATAACTGTTCAGGTAACTGGGCGTCGCTCATTGAAGTGATTCAAATGAAAAACTGCTCAATTAATGGAAAGCAGTGTAAAAGTGATTAATATTCAAAGAACTGTCCAACAGCCAGAGGGTGTTTGCACTGATAATAGTTTCCTTTTTATCTATTCAGAGCACACAGCAAGCTTTGAATATATCTCCCATCTGCTTTTTGCACTTATTTCATCTTATTTTCAGCTGATATTCAGTAAAAACAGAAAGCCAGATATCTGTTGTAACACCAGAGACAAAGAACTAATTGTTAGGTGCTGCATTTGTTTGTACAAACCTACCTTTATGATATCCATCTTGTCTTTGTCTTTGCGAATGCTGCAGAGGAGGTCCTCTTTCCTTGCGTTGTGGTTCTCCAAGCTCTCACTCAGCCTTTTCTGCACAGCGATATGCAAATAATGTTAAAGTGCATCTTAATTATTAGTTTATCTTAATTATTTTAAACATTTTAATTTAGCAGGACCAGAAATCTAGACCCTTATAGATGTTTATCAAAATCTATTGATATGCATGTATAATTTTGTTTAGCCCAATGAAACAGTGGGATGACTGACTACTAAGCCCAACTGCATTAAACTTGAAAAATAAAAATTCAATTAGCGGCTCCCCAGAAAATGAGAGTAAACCAACTGTGCATGTAAAAAAATAAACACTCAAGATATAAATAAAAAAAAAAAATAATCAAGGATTTTTTATTCACACCCCTTGACTTTTCCCACATTTTGTAATCTTAGATTCATATACTTAACCTAATTTTATTGTGAATTTATAAGATATCATCAATAAATAATTAATAATAAGGAAGTAGTGCTACAAGAAAACCACAGGAAAATCTAGCAAGAAAACAAAAACATTTCCAGCCAGATTGGATCAAAATTAAAGTTGTTAATCTACATGAAAAATGTTACATGTAATAGAAATTTTCAAATCCCCTTCTTGTCATCCAAGAGAGACAGTAATTTATTTACAAGAGTTTTTCCACAATCTTTTTACTGTTGGGATACTTACGGACCAAATCCTAACCCATTTAAATGTGTTCATATCTACAAACCCCTGCCAGTAGGAACATTCACTCGACCACCATGTTTTTTTCTCGCAAAACTGCCTTTATTGTTACAAAATGTCCTGGTGCAGAAAAAACTAAATAAATCAGGATTTGTTGAGGAGCATGGATGTAAAAATGTTCTAGTGGGTAAATGCGAACCCCGAGGACGGCAGTATACAACAAGCCCAACATAATTATGTATAATTTAACTAAACTCAGATCACAGATGATCTCCATCCATCCAATATGACTGAACTTCAGCTTTTCTTGAAAAGAAGAACAAGCAAAGAACGTATATAGGCAAGTTGTTTGGGATATGCCCCAAAAAGACAGTGAATAATAGTTATAAAGCTATAAATTGAAACAACAGGGCTACAAGTAATGATTAATTTGCAAATTGATTAATCTGTCGATTTTTTTTCCCCCCGATTAATAATCAGATAGCAAAGTGTTCCTTAAAAAACACGCTTTGCTAAATTAAACCAGGTGAAACTAAATCTTCTCCACTTACATTCATGTTTTTTCTTACAATTTTGGTATATACAACATAATGTAACACAAAAAAATTTTTTTGTTATAGCATCACCAAATTGGAAAAGAGCTAGAGGGTCCTGATTGCTTCTAAAAGCACTATAATATGTCAGCGAGGCCTTATACACTTATCCTTATGCTGAGTTTATGAAAGATCCCGGAATAGAAGGTAATATAAAAAGGGAGTGGGAAGAGGACTTTGGCTCAAACAAGTTAATAAAACACAGATGTGAACTGAAACATGGTGAACTGTGGTGTAATAAACTTTTACAGCTGAAATTGCTATCATTAGTAATTAACTGATTTACCTCGGAACACTTTATGATGTGTATAAGATATGAGACAGGGCAATGATTGAACATAAAATGAATGAAATACAGGCCTGATGATCGATATTAAAGGAAAAGTCTGGTCACATTCAGAATACAAACTTCTGAGAAGTACTTTAAATATTAAAGTATTACATACTGTTCAATGAATGTTAAGTGAAGTTAATCAAGAGTAATTTCATTTGAATGTGCTTTACTGGAGGCATCCATGTTTGTCAAAGAACACTACTGCCACCTACTGGTTTGTGACGTCACAGTGCGGTATCGGCTGTTGATCAAGTTCCAGTGCTGTATCTGGTGTTTGTCACAACACGCTATTATCCAAGTCATCTTGAAAACATTCTTCCTCCAAATGTTGGCTACATGTTATGTGTTTTTTCTCTGGTCAGAAGTTCGATGGAAAATCCTCCCTCTTCAAGTTGGCAATCCAATGAAGAACCCGTCCGTGGAGGATCAGGAATCGGAAAGGTGAAATAACACTTTTTTTTTATTTTCCACTTTTACCCGACTTATTCCAACATCCAGCTGCCACTCACGTGGGCATTGTCAGTTTAACTATAGCTCTCGCGAATTTTAATAGTGAAGTCCATTGGAAATCTAAAATTATTATTGTTGATTGCAGATATGTCTAGTAGTTCCCATTGATTTTGCTTGTAAAGCGGCAAGAATGGCGCTAGGCTTACCGCACCGTGAGGGAGGTGCTACTATATTTGGGCAAAAATGGCCGCTCCCGGACTCCATGATCATGACAAAAATGATTGTCTTCATTTTTTTTACTGATTAACACTAAATTCATTAAACCACCACAAACGTATTATTTTAGGTATAGATAATAATCCATTGATTATTCCTCGCTGACTGCACTTTTTCTTTAAAACACAAAAAAGGAGAAAAAAAAAGCAAAGAAGTCACCTCCAGATTCCGGATGTAGGTGTCTGAAGTGGAGGACCGAACCTTCTCCACCATGGCTGCCACCAGGTAGTTGGTCTGGAACTGCTTGGACCTGAACTCTTTGCGGCACTGCGGGCAGGTCACGGGGCCCGTAGTTCCCCTCCAGTACCGTGAGATGCACGCCTTGCAGAAGTGGTGCATGCAGGACAACATGACAGGCTCCCTGAACAGGTCGCAGCATATGGCGCATGTCAGGTCGTCCCTCAGGCTACTTTTGCTGAAGGATGGAGGAGGAGCAGTAGGAGCAGCAGCCATGTTGGAGGCGACTTGGCTTCTCCAAACTGGGGAAGTGAAAGCAAAAGATTAGAAGGAAGAGGAAACACAAGGTGCTGAGCTGGCTTATGTTATTTCAGGATTAATGTGAAGGCAAACTTAAGACAATGCATACAAGGGGAGTGGGGTTAGGGGATAGAGAATGGAATGGAATGGAATCCTGAGGTTCTGAGTTCGAGCCCCACTCTCACAAACTAACACCCTGGGTCCCTAAGCAAGACCCTTAACCTGCTCAGGGTTCTTTCTGCTTCCCAAGGGGAAGGGTTAAATGCAGAGATACATTTCTCCAATGTGAGATCAATAAAGTTAAATTATTATCATTTTTATATTTAAAAAAAAGCTACAAATCCTGTAATGCACTGATGGTAAACATTATAAGTCAGTTAGATTAGGTGTAAAGAAAGTATTTCAAAGCGAAAGTAATCTGGGTGGTTAGAGCAGATTATAGAACCACGGATCATATGATCCTTTTAATAAAAGGTTTGTTTTGTTTGTTCAGACTGATAGCAAATGAAACCAAACAGCTGCACGCAAACACGTTAACTCACCAAAAACCTTATTAAATATTCTACAAAACAACGATATAAACGTAAAAAGTTAGAGTTGAACGAACTTACGCTCTCTGCTGCCAAGTACAAAGTATGTCCAAACACTTCAAAGTCCTTTCTTCTTCGCTTGATCTCCTCCGCTCTTCTTCCTGGTGCAGTTTGTTTCCAAACCACCAGTGATAACTGCGCATGCGCACGGTGTAACGCCACCTTTGATTGGTTAGTTCGTCTCGAAACCAGGAAGTAGTGCAAAATCACAGCAGAAACCTATTTTATGTTTATCATTCGCTTCTTTCAAATTAAATGTTTTGCAATAAAAGCAAATACATTTCCTGTTCATGTATGGACTGAAGGAAATTAAGAAGTAGATATCTTAGCTAAACAGGCTTTAATGTCAGACATTAGACTTAGATTTATTTTGTTTACACAAGTGTAAAACAAAAAGAAATTTTGTTTAGAACAGCTTTCTGGACAATTTATTTTCTTTTTTTTTAATGCAGCCTTGAAAAATAGTAAAAAAACAAAAAACATTACTATAAACATAAGCCTATATTTACAGTTCTAACATTTCAGGTTATATATATATAAATATATATATAATGATAAATAATAATAAATATAATAAAATACAATACAATAACCCATTTTACAAAACATTCAGTTGTCTAATGGCAGGGGGGAAGAAACTGTTATGGAATCTGCTGGACCTGCATCGGATGATTCGAAGCCTCTTCCCCAAAGGGCAGCAGGGGGAACAGTCCATGGTGGGGGTGTTAGGGGTCATTGATGATGTTACGGGCTCGGGACATGCAGCGCTGGGATGAAATGTCTTTTAGGAGCCCCGATGCTCCTCTTTGCTGTTCTCACCACTCTTCTCACCTTCTTCCAGTCTGAGGCGCTGCAGCCTCCACACCACACAGTGAAACAGCTGGTCAGAACGGCCTCTATAGTGCTTCTGTAGAAGGTGGTGAGGATGGGTGGGGGCAGGTGGGCTCTCCTCATGGCATCCTCAGTGGAGCGGTTGCGTCGGTAGGCAAACTGGAACGGGTCGAATGTTGGCAGCAGACTGGAGACGATGTGTTCTTTAACCAGCCTTTCGAAGCACTTCATCATGATTGGAGTCAGTGCGACAGGCCTGTGATCATTGAGTGAGTTGACCTAAGGCTTCTTTGGGACCGTTATAATGGTGGCAGACTTGAAGCATGCTGGTATTATGGATCGGTCCAGCAGGTGTAAAAAATGTCTGTGCGGACACCAGCCAGCTGATCTGCACACTCCTTATGCACCCGCCCAGGTATGTTATCAGGCCCTGGGGCCTTCCTTGAATTGATTCTCCTCAGAGTTTTCCTTACTTCGGCCTTCACTTTAGTGCCTCCTGCCCCTGGTGTGGAACAGCTTTTACTGCTGGAGTGCTGTTTAGTTCCTCAAACCTTCTAAAGAAGTTGTTCAGTTCATTTAGGAAGTCAGCATTTGCTCCATCTGCCGGGGGTGGGGGGTTATAGTCTGTGATCATCCGAATGCCTTTCCACATCCACCTGGTGTAGCTGTCATCATGGAAAAGATCCTGGATCTTCTGATATTATTTATGTATATTATTAACTTAAGTGTTCCTTTAGCAAAAAAAAAAAGGGTAAATCTATAATTCAGAATAAAATCTGTAAAGTTTGGCAGTAACATTGGGATAATCATGACACTGGTAGAGATCTATATAAAATTCAAAAGACTGTAGGGGGTAATAGTTGTAAAAATGGAAGGCGGAAAGAAGAGGAAGTCATATCTCGACTTAGAACTGGTCATACTGGACTTAATATTTCTCTTTTCAAAATAGGGAAACATGAAACAGGGACTTGCAATTGCTGTAATCAGATGGAAACAGTGGAACATGTGTTATTAGAATGTGATAAATAGTCACTGGAACGTCAGCGCTTAAAGCCAACACTAAATAGAGAAAAAATTGGATTTTCTATGATAAACCTTTTAGGAAGTAAATCTAATTCGGCTAGAAATCAGTTAATTCGATTTTTAAAAAACACTGGATTATTTAATCGGATTTAAAGTAAGAATATAAGTGTGTGTATGCATGTGCATATACACACATACTAATTTATATGTGAGTTTGTTTATTGATTGATAGATAATATGCAGATTTGTGCATACCATTGAGGTATGTATTAATAACTTTCCTCTGACATCATTGATGACCACACTCCAGTCTGGTAGGTGGCGGTAAATGCACCTTAAGTTGGTTGCCATCCGCCAATAAAAAAACATAATAAGGCGAAGACATCAAATACATGCTCTACGCTTAGAGCTAATTTATTTTCAATCTCTAGAGCTCCTTATGGTAGCCAACAGATGGGCAGTTATAAAATCAAGAAAGATTTAAAGATGTGCCTTTTAATCTAGATGCAAACTCAGAACAAAGGGAAAATTTTGTTTTAAAATGCTGAAATTATTGACCAATAATGTGTTTCTGTTTCTCCTAAATTAAAATTATGAAAATCTAAATTGTGTGTGTTCTTTTGCAGCATAGAAACAAACAACCTTTCTTTTGAGTGTATTTTGCTGTGCAGGGAAAATAAGTCTAACTTCAATATTTATTACTTTTTTGTCTAAATTTTCTTTGAACAGATCACAAAATCAACCCTAATTTGAATAATTTAAATTTCAAAATTTGGTTTAAAGACTATTTTTATGTATTTATTTAAATATTAAAAAAACAAATTATGATATAGGCTTATATTAGCTACTACTTCTATATTTGCTACAAGGAAGTAGTTCATTATCAAAACTTGCTCATATCTACAGACACAATAAAAATCAATGTGACGAACAAGACTGGACAAGGAGCCTTGTTTATTTTTGTTTCTAGACATTCCCACAGTTAGATGTAAACATGAAGTCTGCTGGAATAAGAATAAGAACCTTTTTTTATCACATGAATGATTAATTTCCATTTATCCTCTGGCAATTTATTATTATTTGAGGTTGTCCAGGTCCAGGTTTTATATAAAATAGAAACCCTCATAGGACCATTGTCAATGTTTCAAGCTGGTTGGCTAGCTCATTAGGCTGATTGTACCGTCTTTCTTATGAAGTTCTGTTAATTTGGAATACATTTTCAAATTTTTTTTTGCACTTCTTCCTTTTGTCAAAGATTAGAAAATCCCTATGTTGAGTGATCATGCAGTCTTATAAAAGGTTCAATTTCGATAAGAGATTGCACCATGCAAAGTGGACTAAAGTGTAAAAAACACACCTAATTATTTTTTTTCTTGTATCCACCAAATGTATCATTCAGGCTTTCTCTTCACTGAAAGCAAGATGACCCCGGGGTTCTCCATGAAGCTGCAGGCCTTTCTGCAAAGATGTGGTAAATTCAATTGGTCAAAGACAGACGAGGAGAAAAATAGACACAATATCAGTTTGGCTTCTTGAAACGAGTCCTGGGGCATATAGCAGGGACTTCCCACACAAACATTTGCCTCAAGAATTCAATTTGCAAACTTTACAGACTATCAATCCCTCTGAATCAATATGTCCAATCACTTGTGACCTAAAGACTTTCATCTGTCTGGATTACAAGAGTGTTTAGCTACCACTGTAAATTTCATAAAAAAGAAGGAAAGCAAAGCTTAACTGCTGTAAAAATATAATAAATAACTGCCTTTTAGGTAAGAGAAACATGTGGAAATCACCTCTTATATGTAAACATGATCAGAATTTAGAGACGTACAACAAAACGTGCAATTCTAGTTGCTTGTATTTTATTTTCACATTTTGGTAACTCATTAAAATCTATGATGCACATATTATGTAGAAGACAAGGATAAATATAAAGTTATACACTGTTTTTTTTTTCACAGGTAAAATCTGAAAAGTGTGGCATGCATTTGTTTTCAGCCTCATTTACTTTTAGAATCACAATCTTATTTTTATCAGAGGAACAGATTTTGTGGCTAACATGCAGTTCTTTTCCCTGGCAAAAAAAAAAGAAAAAGGATGATTGCAGCGATCCATTGATCGAAGGTAATCCCTCACACCAAGCATGCTTTTAGCGACAGTGGAGAGGAAAACTCTTTAACAGGAAGAAACCTCCAGCAGAACAAGAAAAATTAGATCTTTTTTTTTTTTTTGGAGTTGGACTGTGGAACACTGCTTATTTAAAGTCATGGAAATCCTTTCTTAGTTTCAAAAAGGCAGAGCACATCATTATAATAAAAATATATTGTAAGTGAGGTATATATTCTTATATTATTACTAAAACGTTTATTGCATTTAAATGAAGTGCAGCTTAATTTTGTTGTAAGAACACAAGCCTTCATAGGACTTTTTCTCAGCCCAAACCTTTCAGCAACAATATTGTCTATGTCACACAAGTCGGTCTTCAGACTTGCAATCAGTCACATCGGCTAAAAAATTATAAAGACCCAAATCATTTTCACAAATATAGATACACCAACAAACACTGGGTTTAGCATTTATTCCACTGACTAACTTTATTAAATTTCTAAAATAAAGTGACTTAAATCATAACATAAATATCTATTTTTCATCCTTTTAAGTGATAAAACAAAGCAAAGGTTGACCATTGAAAAAAAGCGTATGAAGTTAAAGGGATGCAAAGGTTTTAACAAGTCAAAAGGTAAGCAATACATCGCATTTGATCAGAGCTGGGTAGGGTATCCAAAAATTGTACTAAGAGTCGCTCTATTTCATCATATTTTTACTTAAGTAAAAGTCAAAAGTATCCTTTAAAGAAATTACCTAAGAGTAAAAATGTGTTTGGTTTAAAAGTTATTCAAGTACAGAGTAACTGATCTACTTATGAACCATGGTCCTGATTTAATGCTTTACAAAATTATGTAAAATTGAAAAAAATACTAAGTGAAATGCAAATTCAAGTTTCAAAGAATGATGTAAAAATAAACATCTAAAATAGATTAATTACACAATAAAGAATTTAGATAGAATAAGCAACATTTATTTATTATTTATTTTTGTTATAAAACTTAAAACATCAATAGTTACTGTATGTAAATTAGGTTAAATTATAGTGAACTCTTTACTGTATTTTCATTCCACCTCCAAATGACACAGCAGACTCAGCAGATGAACATAACATATAACAAATAAGGGTAAAAAAAAAGAAGAATGTATGTCTCTAAATGGTGCTTTTTTTTTTTTTTTTAAAGAAT